TTTTAGATAAATTAATCGATTAAAGTGAAAAAATAATGCGCAAACATGAAGGGCCCAAGCCAAGTGCGATTGGAAGCCTTTGGCTTCTAACTCGTTGTTTGGGACAACGGGAATATCAACGGACGCTCCTCCTATTCAATGAATTTGAGTAGGGGAGAGAAAAAGAGTCCAAAAATTATTTTGTGTGTCAAACGATGTACACGAAAAATATTTAAATTATATTTTTCTTACCAAAAAAAATTCTGTAATCTTAAAAAAAATGTTTTAAAGAAATTTTGACACACTTATTTTGAAACTGACTCACTAAAATATTTTAGACAGAGGAAAAGTAATTTTTCAACTGACTCAAAAATAATTATTTTTATCCCTCAGAAATTAATTCGTTTGTGTAGAAAATATTGTCATTCTTACAAAGATTCCTAGACTTAATAAAAAAATAAAAAAGTCTTCGGAGTCTTCACTTCACTTCAAAAAAAAATCTGCGTAGGGGTGATCGTCGATTTTTATCGCCGTAAACTTCTTGATACCCTTCTTTGCTTTTCTTGATACGAAAATAAATTTTCGATCAGCTTGAAATTAATCATCCTGTTTGTCATTCATCAAAACAAAAAAAAATATTCCAGAAGAAATAGTAAAGGGGTTTGAACTCATGTCCAACATACACTTCGTCTTGAATGATACCATTAAGGAAGGCACTTTTAACATCTATTTGATAAAGTTTAAAATCCATCGTAGATGCAAATGCAAGTAATAGACGAATAGCTTCTAAACGTGCAACCGGTGCATAAGTTTCTTCATAATCAATGCCTTCTTCTTGATTGTAGCTTTAGCTACAAGCCTAGCTTTGTTTCTAGTGATTACTCCATTTTCATCGAGTTTGTTACGAAACACGCATTTTGTGCCAATAATGGAATGATCATTAGGTCTAGGCACCAATTCCCAAACATCATTGTGTTTAAATTGGTTATGCTCCTCTTGCATTGCCATAGACCAATGTTCATCATAAATAGCATCCAAAACGTTTGTTGGTTCAATTTGTGAAACAAAGGCCATGTGATTAATTGTGTTCCTAAGAGAATTACGAGTAGAAACTCCCTGCGTTATGTCACCAATGACATTGTCAATCGGGTGGTTCTTCAATGTTCTCCATTCCTTAGGAAGCCCTGTTTCTTCCTGGGTTTTCTCTTCTTCCGATTCCTTTTCCTTAACGATTTCTTCTTCATCGTCATAAGAACCTGCAACATTATCAACAATACCTTTTCTCGCTAAGCGAGCATCAAATTCATCAAAGACAACATGAATAGACTCCTCTACGGTCTTAGTACGCCTTTTGAACACTCTATATGCCTTACTACGAAGAGAATAACCTATGAAAATTCCTTCATCCGACTTAGCATCAAATTTTCCCAAGTTATCTTTTCCATTATAATGAATAAAAACTTTACATCCAAAGACATGAAAATAGGAAAGGTTAGGCTTTCTTCCTTTGTAAAGTTCGTAGGGAGTTTTCTTGAGTATCGGTTTAATGACGGCTCGGTTTAACACGTAGCACGCGGTACTCACGGCATCTGCCCAAAAATATTTAGGAAGGTTAGCCTCATTGAGCATAGTTCTAGCCATCTCTTCAAGAGACCTATTTTTCCGTTCAACTATGCAATTTTGTTGTGGTGTACGGGGGGCCGAGAAGTTATGCTCAATGCCTAATTCGTCACATAAGGCGTCAAAGCCATCTTGATCGAATTCTCCCCCATGATCACTTCTAATGGATGAAATGTGACAATCTTTTTTCATTTTGAACCAATTTGATAAATTTCTTAAAAGCATTAAGTGCATCATACTTATGAGCTAGAAAAAGTGTCCATGTAAACCTCAAATAGTCATCAACGATAACAAAGCCAAAGTAATTACCTCCTAAACTCATAGCTCTTGAAAGTCCAAAAAGGTCCATGTGCAAAAGTTGTAATGGCATAGTCGTAGAAACAACGTTCTTTGACTTAAACGAGGCCCTTACTTGCTTCCTCTTTTGACATGCATCACAAATTAGATTCTTCTCAAACTTAAGTTTAGGAACACCAATTACTAAGTCTTTATAAACCAACTAATTAAGATGGTCCATATTAACGTGAGCTATCCGACGATGCCATAGCCACGTTTCTTCCTCTTTGGTAATGAGGCACTTAGCTAAGATAGACGGGGAATTTTCAAGATCAAACATGTAGATGTTATCTACTCCACTACCACAACAAATAGTCTTATTGTCACACAAGCATTCTACAATGCATTTACTAGAATCAAAGATGACACGGTTACCTCTATCTCACAATTGGCTAATGCTAAGAAGATTGTGTTTGAGGCCCTCAATAAGAAGAACATTCTCAACAGTTGTAGCATTGTCCTTCCCGACGGTGCCACTTCCAATGATTCTTCCGGTCATGTGCTTGGATCATCCGCTATCGAGAAACCAAGAGGTACTCGAAGCCTTCAAGCACACCTACAAAAAGATATCAAGGAGATGGTTTAGGTACCCATGTATTGTTGGGTCCTTTTTGGTTAGCATATGTGCGATGTGTGTGCGTTTGTTGTGTGGGTGTCGTCGATGTCATCATCTTCATCATCAACGTTGTTGTGGGATGATGTTGTTGCGGGTAGAGCAATAGATCTCTTGCTCTTCTCTTCAACCACCTTTGAGAGTTGGGTGGTTTCGTAGGTAATGAGGTTACCTCGAAAAGCATCATAGGTCGTTTTTTGGAAGTCACGTCCTTCTTCAATTGCGTCAACCTTTGAACGCCATTTTGGGGATAAGCTTCGTAGTACCTTTCTTACAAGTTCTCGGTCGGTGTAAGTCTCCCCGAGAAGATTGAGACAATTAATGATGTTAGAGAATCTCTCAAACATTTCCTCAATCTTCTCGTTTTCCTTCATTGAGAAGAGTTCGTACTCGTGGGTGAGATGGTCGATTTTGGCCTCCCGAACCTGCGCGGTTCCTTCGTAGGTGACCTCCAATTTCTCCCACATTTGTTTTGCGGTTTCACACCGCGAGATTTTGCGGTAGTCATCCGCATTAACACTGCAATAAATCATGTTTATTGCCTTTGCGTTGAGCACCATCTTTTTGCAATCTTCGTCGGTGAACTCCTCTTCGGTTTTAGGGACGATGACTTCACCGACTTTCTTCATCAGAACTCCGCAGCCGTTCTTCACAATCAACCACAGCTTGTAGTCGTTGGATTGGATAAAGATTCTCATCCTCTCCTTCCAATACGAGTAGTTTGTTCCATCGAACAAAGGTGGCCTCGTGGTTGATTGCCCCTCGGTCACTCCTGCGTTGAACATTCTTGATGCCATTTGATCTTTTAGTTCCTGAAAAAATAATGTATTCGAAAAACTTCCTGCTCCGGTACCAATTGTTATACAAATGTGCAACTCTAGAGGGGGGGTGAATAGAGTTGCTTTCAAGAATGTGCGTTTTTCGCGTGTGCTTTCAACCGAGATTTATACTGGTTCACCACATCGTGGCTAGTCCAGTTCTCTGAGAGACTCTCGAAGGTCCTACTAATCTTCAAGCTTCAACGGGTGCTTGAAAAACCGGTACAACTTGAGAACCTGAATCACACAAGCCTCACTTTCTTACAACAACAAGACTTGAGTCACACAAGTCTTTAGAACAACACTCAAATGAGATTGAGTTTACAACACAAGAATGAAAGCTCACACAATTGACCAAAGTAGTGTTCAAGGATTAAAGCTCTATGGATGACAACTTGTTTAGCACTCAAAAAATATTTCTAACTCTCAAAAATAATATTTGATGAGGAAGATGAAGCAAGGAATGAATATAGCTCAAAGGGTATAGTAGAGTGCAAGAGTAGTGTAGAAATGAAGGAGAATGAGAGATTAAATAGGCTGAGGAAAATAAAAGATCCGTTGGAGCAGATTGAGAATAGATACGAGACAATATTAATCGATTAAGGTAAAGCCTTTAATCGATTAAGGTGTACAGAAGCGAAAAGGTCTTCTGTGCAGGGTGCAAATTAATCGATTAGATTTGACAAAATAATCTATTAGATGGTGTTGTCTCAACTAATCGATTAAATAAAGAATAAAAATAAATTAAACTAAAAGCCTGAGAAATCCAGCGCTAAGGAGCTGGATCTAATCGATTAAAAAGAAACTGTTAATCGATTAAATAGAGAATAAGAAGTAAATTGGCTTATATTCGTTTGTTTGAGACAAGAACGCTCCTCAAGAGAAAGTATCCCTTGTTCAAAGAATTTGAATAGGGGAGAAAAAGTGAGTCCAAAAATTATTTTGTGTGTCAAATGATGTATACAAAAAATATTTAAATTATTTTGAAACTGACTCAGTAAAATATTTTTAGACAGAGGAAAAGTAATTTTTCAACTGACTTAGAAAATAATAATTTTTATCCCTCAAAAAAATTAATTTTTTTGTGCAGAAAGTATTGTAATCCTTACAAAGATTCCTAGACTCAATTAAAAGAAATCTTCGGAGTCTTCACTTCACTTCAAGAACTTCTGCGTAGGGGTAAGCCTTGATTTTATCTTGATACGCCTCTTTGCTTTTCTCGATACGAAAATAAATTTTCGATCATCTTGAATTTAATCATCCTGTTTGTCATTCATCAAAACAAAAAAAATATTCCAGAAGAAATAGTAAAGGGGTTTGAACTCATGTTCAGCATCTGCATGAGGTGAAATAGTTGACAGAGGGAGAGGTTTAACTTAGAGTCAGCAATGGAGCAGTTGTCAATGCGTTGGCCGTCGGAGTCTATAATTTACCTCTTCTTAGTAGTCTTATGATGCAATTAAACAATGTTTTGTTTGTGCTTGCAATTAGCAAAAATATTATTTCTATCTCCTTCCTTGACAAAGCAGGATATTCCATTGTTGTAAAAGACAAATGTTTGAATGTTTTCAGAAATGATATGTTTTATGCAACTACGCGAATGACCAATGGGCTATATGTCTTAGACTTGGACGCCCCTGTATATAACGGTTTGAATCTCACGTACCTCTGCATTGTCATTTGAGTATTATAATGTATTCCAATCTTGTTCACACGGTAAAATGACAAAGGCTCCATTCACCGGTCATGGTGAAAGGGCGAGTGATGTATTAGGCCTCATACACTCTGATGTGTGTGGCCAAATCAGCACTAAAGCTAGAGGTGGTTTCTCATACATCATCACATTTACTGACGACCTCAGTCAGTATGGATATGTGTATCTTTTAAGACACAAATCGGAATGCTTTGACAAGTTCAAGGAATTCTGAAACGAAGTAGAGAAACAATTAGGCAAAAGTATCAAGACACTCCATTCGGATCGTGGAGGTGAGTACTTGGGTCTAGAGTTTGATGACTATCTACGAGAGCACGAGATTCTATCCCAGCTCACTCCTCCTATATGGTTCGAGTATGATGAGTCTGACAACACCTCTAGAGTCCTTTGGGGGCAAAGAACTATTAACAGCAGCACACACACTCAATCGCGTACTATGTAAAGTTGTTGAGAGCACACCATACGAACTATGGCATGGGACGAAACCAAATTTGTCATACTTGAGGATTTGGGGCTATGATATTTACGTGAGACGCCTCATGATGTCTAGTAAGCTGGATTCCAAATCTAAAAAGTGTAAATTTGTGGGGTACACCAAGGAAATGAAAGGGTATTGTTGGAACACACTTTTTATTGCGTTAAACTAAAGTCGTGTTCATTTCTGATAGGTTTTGATAATTTCCAAACCGCCGTGGATATGAAGAGGTTCATTGAACAAATAAAGGCGTGAAGAATGGCACGGAACAAGACCAAAAGACTCAAGGACAAGATCAAGAATTCAAAACTTAGTCGAGTCGGTCTTAGTGTGATCAAAACTGACAATCAATTCAAGTCTCGGTTCTCAAAGAGTCAAAATAATTTTACAAAATCATAAAACGTTTTTGTGCATCAAAATAAATGTTTTTAATAAAGTTTCATTGTATTAAAATCCCTGGTCCTTGCCCAAATCAAAAAAATCACCTTGGTCGGCGTTTCGGCGTCCGAACCAACTTGGTGGTTTTTAATATTTTTAACCTCATTTTTACCTCTGGGCATATTCAAAAGGTTCCCAAATAATTATTTTATAAAAACCACTTTTGTATCTTGGTCAATCGGTCTAACACGTGAAAAACGGTTAAAGTCGTACACATGTGACAAACAACCTCGAAGACTTGGTTTTTACCAAACAAGTCTTGGTTTCACTATTTTAAACCATATACAATGTTTTTCAAAGTTGGTTTTTACTTTTGGGAACACTTCGTTTTTGGACCTCGGTTTTTCGGGTTAAGTTTCTCGCCGGATGGTTTTAGCCAGCTGATAATCGACTGTCAGTTTATGACATTCAAATACTGGTTGCCACAATTCTGAACCTCAAGTTCAGAACCATCCAATAATCGACTGCCACCTTTTTGTCAATCGATTGCCTGCGTTCTTCCTTAAACCCAGAAACTTCTGAGAGGCATGATAGTCGATTGACACTAGTTGACAATCGATTATGTGGGTTACTGTTGTCCTCCAACGGATAGAATTTTAAATTTTTGGACAAAGAATCTTTTGACAATCGATTATCATGGTTTGACAATCGATTATCACTCTGCAATTCTGAAATTTTTGTCCTGATCCTGTTGGAAATTTTGCAACGGGTTTATCCCATTTTAGGCTATAAAATGGCACCCAAATCCTCTCATTTTACACACAATTCTTCAGCATTTCAATACTCTTTCATTGCATAAGCATTCCTATTTTTCTTAGCTATTTGAGAGCCAATTCTTGAAGAAATTGTCGTGTTCTTGAGCGTTTACTAGTTCACTCATATCTACTCTTTGTGAGAGTTTTATTCTTGAGTGTTTAAGTGTTTTTATACACTTTAAAGGAGGTTGTTCCCTTGTTGTAAACTCGAAGGAAGTCTTTTGTTCCTTCTTGAGAACTCTTGGAGTGTGGTGTCTCCGAGCAAAGGCGTTGAGGCTCGTGTGACTCGGGTTCTCAAGTTGTATCGGTTTGTTGAGCACCTTTAGGCTTAACGGAGTTAGTGTAGCTCGAGAGAGTCTCTCGGGAGGCTGGATTAGGCACACATTATGGTGAACCAGGATAAAATTCGGTGTGCTCCTTCCTTACGCTCTTTATTTTATCGCTTTTGTTTTTAATTTCCTGCGATTTTGTTTCAAACATTATTCACCCCCCCTCTAGCGTTGGGCCTATATTCTAACAATTGGTATAGAGTCATACTCTCTGAAAGACTTAACCGTTTGAGAGAAACGATCAATGGCTTCTACTCAAAACATACACGCAGGTTTAGGTGAAGGGCAATCCACCACGAGGCCTCTGTTGTTTGACGGAACGAACTACACTTATTGGAAGGAGCAGATGAGGATCTATATCCAATCTACCAACTTTCTCCTATGGAGAATCATCAAAAACGGTGAAGACGTGCCCATTAAGAAGGTCGGGAAAACTAACATCCCTAAAACCAAGGATGAGTATGATGCACAAGACATCAAGAAAGTCGAGAACAATGCAAAGGCCATCAACATCATCTATTGTGTCGTAAACCCGGATGACTACCGGAAGATTTCTTGTTGTTCCACCGCCAAGGAAATGTGGGACAAGCTAGAAATCACCTATGAAGGTACGGATCAAGTCCGAGAAGCTAAAATAGATTTTCTAACCCATGAATATGAATTGTTTCGTATGAAGGAGAATGAGAAAATCGATGAGATGTTTGAACGATTCTCAAAAATCGTCAATGATCTTCACACTCTCAAAAAGACGTACACGGACAAGGAGCTTGTGAGAAAAATTCTGCGGAGTCTCACACCGGAATGGCGCTCCAAAGCCGATCCAAGAGTCCATCGGCATCACCAACGTCACCATCGACGGGCTTAGAGGTAACCTCAAAACTTATGAGTCTACCATTCTTTTCCCCTCTTTAGGTGAACAAAAGAAGAAGGGGATTGCACTCAAGGCTTCCTCAAGCCAAGAACTCGCCATGGAGGAATCAAGCGATGAAGACAATGAGTTCGGGCTCGTTATCAAGAAATTCCACAAGTTCATGCGAAAGGAGTATGAACGAAAGGGAAAGAAACATGGAGGACCACCCAAATGCTATGTGTGTGGAGAAATTTGGCATATCAAGCCAAAATGCCCAAATGCCAAAAATGAGAAGGAGAAGAAATAGTACAAGAAGCACCGAGCTTACATCTCGTGGGGAGGTGATTCCGGCGATGAATCATCGGAAGGCGAAAAAAACGAAAGTGCCAAGCTTTGCCTCATGGCACACGAGGAACCACCGGAAGAGATATGTACCACTTCTAAAGATTCCTACACTTTTGATGATGTTCAAGAAGCCTTCAATGAACTGTATAATGAATATGTCAGCGCTTCTACAATTAACAAGGATTTGAAGAAACAA